ACGAGGAAACTATTTACAGACACAATTTACGTGCGTTGCATAGGAAGAGATATAAAACTTATTTGGTGAAGCCTCCTTCATTAGTGTTAACTTAGATCATCTTCTTTCTAACTTCGATGGAGGCTAACGAATACTATAAACCACACCCACTTTACCCAGACCCAACAAAAACCGAAATGAGCTGGATTGATTCTTGCTTCTTCTTTTTTTTTTTTATCACAAGAGCAATGCAAAATGCAACAGTTTCACTTACAGTTTGCGATTCATCTTGCTTGCGAGTTGTCGTGGGTGTATACAGAGACAAATGAGTCAGCAGCTCCAGCTGCAAGCAGAACCTGGTACGGATGAAACGTGAGGCAACTCACTGAACCAATCTTCTGTGCCATGAAGGACGGGTAGTAGCGGATTATCCCTAGTTGTTCTCCCTGAAGGCTAAATACTTTAATGAGTTGTTTTGCAGATCCGCTCGCGATGATAGGAGCGTGTCTGTGAACAGCTAAGGCTGTGAGTGAACCCCTGTGTGCATCAATCGTCAGGTATGTGTCCCTTGTTGTTCTAAGGTCAAGGAACTGTATGTCACCGGCCTGTGATGCACTCACCACCTGAAATTAAAAAAGTAACAGATATTGGCCTCGGGAAAGCGACAAAGAATTGAGAAACTCTTGAAAATAGGCGTGAACATAAAAGACCAAACCAAGCCGAAAATCCTCAACCGAGAGCCGGACCAAATTTTATTTTAAAACCAAACTGTAACAATATTTTACCAGACAAGCAAAACCGGAACCAAACTTAGTGCAACCCGAAAAAACAAACCGAATTGAAAGCTGACAGTTCAGAGATAAGTTTGCAACCTTTGCGGGATCAAGTCCAGGCTGAAAACTGAGTCCAACAACTCTTTCAACTTTCTGATGAGGCCGAGTCGCGCAGACAAGCCTTCAATAGGAGAAGTGATATTAAGTGATGTATTCCAAACTATTTTGTTCAACTTTGCTATTCAAGAATTAACTATAAAGCAACTTACGGTTCAGGTGACCGAACATCATAAAGTCTCAAAGAACCATCAGCAAAACCAGCAGCAAGTTGACCTCCGTGCACTTGAGAAGCCGACTACAAAGATAACATAAAGTAAGCAAAATTCCCATGTTTTGTATTTATATAGACTATCTGGAGGTTTGTCAGTTTCTTCCTGCTCATTCTAAGTTTGAACAACTATTTGCTAAGAATCAACACACCTACTTAATACCAGCCTCTCTTTCATTTCAATCCTGGAAAGATCTTTGACCAAGGAAAAGCATGTAACCATGAACTTACGATACAAACAAAAAGAACTAGCAGACATTAGCTTCGGTATAATCTTACTTCAATTTATCAAATTCGTTTAATAGATTATAGTAGATTGGTAGTTTTCATGTTGTAAATAAGAAGGTTATTTATGCAGACTTACAAGTGCTGTAACTCCGCACTCTGACTCAGATGCAATGGATCTGGCAAGCTGTTCTTTCTCCATGTCCCAAAGTGTGACTGTTGACACCTCCCCAGAAGCATACTGTTAAATACCAGTAATCCGTAAATAACAATAAACTAGGTTTCGTAACTTGGAAAACAAATTAAGAAACACTGCATAGCGTGATTGAAGAAATCACAAACCAGGTAACCAGACTGTTGTTGCCAGTCCACGACAGCGTTCAAGTCACGTGCACCAGGCTTCTGACCCTGGATTGAAGAAAACCCAGTAACAAGCTTTTGTTTACCCTTTGTTGCATAGTTTTTCCATATCCGGACCGATCCATCACCTACCCAAAATTCCAAAAGCACGTGAAGACATAAATACCATTTCTCAGCAGCCAAAATCAACCAACATGCAAGCATCTGAAAGACATGGTGGCAAGAGTTGTGAATATTACATGACGCAACAAGTAGCAGAGAGTCGTCAAGTTCATTGATGAGGCAGAGCTTTGAAATTCCTTTGTCAGGAAAATCATGATTGTCAAAACCGTTGAGAAGAGTTGCTTCCTCATAGTTCCATACTCTGAGAGGAAAATACAGTAAAATACTTAAGTACAGTAGAAGTATCAAAAAAGGTCACAAGAGAGAACATCAAAGTTTAAGAGCAATTTCAAAGGGAAGCTTTTTCTAAATGATTATAATAAAAACAGAGATCTAATCCGATAGACCATAGCTCAGAAAGGGAAAACCCTTGTGTTGATGGGAACTAGCCCATATTTTGCCTAACAGAGGTTAACATGAATGCAAGAATTAACTGTGCTCTGAAGAAACTTGCATACCTGATCCGTTCATTCTCGTCTGCAGCAACTACAATAGGAGAGAATGGGTGAAGGAGGGCTGTTTTTGTTCCCGTTTCAAACCTCGTATCCCAGTTGGCAATAGGATTATTGTTGAGCTTGCTAATAGCTGGTCAAGGTAAAATGTTACAAGTCAATTCAAGTGACTAGTATCGGTAAACAAACCAGATATAACAGAAAAAACTACTTACAAGAGTGCTGGCATTTTGCAATATGCTCAATTGCGAATTTTTCGTTCTCTTCTCTTTTGGCAACTATCTCTTGACTAGCATCCGTTCCACCAAGAAGTGGTTTAGAAAAGTGGCCACAACTCCAGTTGTAGATAGATGATAGTGGAAGCAAACTCCTTTCAGATCCACTGGCACCTAAAAGCGGATCAGCCAATCCTGAGTCTGGTGAACCCAACAGATGAGGCCTGAACTCTAACGAACAAACTCTCCTCAGTCCACTTAGATAGTTTGTTCTAGGAGGACTGACCGGAGGAGTCCTAAAACTCAAGGGCAGATTACCTGTCGTCAACAGCAGTGCAAGATCAGAACTCACAAAAACTCTTTAGTGGACAGCCTTTTGAATTAAGCAAAACTTTGAAAATTTTCACATCAAGTGATGATGATAAAACATTCCATAAGCAGCTACCTGCATGCATATCAAACCATGATGATGAGCGAGCTAGGCCAGCAAGAGGAGTGTGAGATGTCGTTGCAGCTTCACCTGGTCGGCCAGTGGGCTTCGAGGGTTTCGCAACAACTTGTTCGATTCCAATAATAGAAAGCACACGCCGCCCAAGACTTGCAATACGTGGAGATGGATCTTTAGCTAATGCAAACATAGCTCGGACACACTGCGAATAAACAGCATTATCCAAAATTCTTTGCTGATGGACAGCTCCATTGCTGATGCTGTCATGCATGATTCCAGAATCAGAATGTAAGGAAGAATCATCAGATAATGGAGATCCATGCATTAGACTAGAAGAGCCAAGAGGGCTGCTTGAGATCCTCGACTCACGAGCCACTGGTTGGCTATCAGTGCTAGCTCTAGTCAGAGGACTCATGTGTAAAGAAACAATTGTTGCACTCCCAGCATCGTGGAATTTAGCTATTGAAGGGAGTGACGTAAGCAAAGAACTTGACTGAGGCTTCCAATATGAAGCTGCGGCTAACTTTAGGTGCTGTTTGTGGCCAAACGCAAAACGTGCAAGAGCTGTAGAGACATAAACAACAAATACACTTGGGGGATCAAATAGCAAGAAAAAAAAACTAAGCAAGCTAAGCTTCAAGATGTATATGAAGAACGAACAAAGACAAACATTTGGCAATATAAAACTATATATGAACCCTCAAAACGTGGGACAATATTTTTTTTTTGGGACAATATGATTTCAAGGTTTATTGAGTTATAAATAATAGCAGTCTCTCCAGCTAACGCATACAATACATTGGATGTCTTAAGTAATTTGGAACTATTCAGCACATGATAAATCAATAATTTTATTTAATCTCAATAGGTTAAATTTTTTTTTTACTTTGAAGTTAAATGACTCTGACGTTAATTAGGAACCCACGATAATGAATGTTCAAGAGTTGCATGCTTTGCGTACCTACAGCAACCTCTGCTCGGACAAGTGGACTCCCATCTGAAACTACATCTAAGAGACTTTTAATGATAGCATCTTCAGCTCTAATCTTTTCATCATCATCAAATTCATCCTCCACAACACTTTTACTAGAGTCAAACCCAATATCAAGTAAGGTTCCCAGGGCAAAAACAGCAGCAGCCCTTACCTGCAAGAGAATGTTATGGTCAGAAATTACACTGTTACTACAAGGACATTATACAGAAATCTGAGCTTCACCTCAGGTTGGGGCTCGGAAAGCAGAGGTGCCAACTTTTCAAAAGCATTGGCTTCCCTACCCATTATTTGGGCCTCCATAAAATCTTCCCACAACTTTCCAAGACAAAGACAAAGCCATTGTAGAAACAGTGGTTCTGGCTGTGGCTCACTTGGTCTGGATGCTTCAAGGTGCCCCAGACAAACACCAATTAAATTAGCTTCAAGACATGCCTCCTGGCCTCGTCGGTGTCCGTCCACAATGACAGCCAGAACAAAAGCAGCCATAGCCCGTTGTTCTGGAAATGCACCCGAGCTATCTAGAAATCTTATGAAATATGTATGCCCCCCATCCTTCACAAGATCAATTTGACATGACTGAAAACAAAGAGAGACCAGTCAATGTTGGAATAGTCCAAAGACTGAAACGAGTAGGCTTAAGCAGCACAAAAGTGTGATGGCCGAAGAAATAAGCAACTTGATCTGATATCCAAGGATATGATATAAAATATGCAGAGATAAATCAGATGGTAGATTCATGCCATTCAGCATTCATCTCCGAATAACTAGAAGAAAACACACAATATCTTTTCCATTAAGGTCATGCTCAATACGCAACAGATGTCAACCTAAGAAGATAGCCACAATATGAACCAGCACAAATTTGTAAAATAACAAGCAGAGACATGACAAACCACCATCGTCCTCCCAGAAAATAGCACATGGAACATCAAATATTTACCTTATCAAGTGCAAGAATTTTTGTCCATATGAAAACAAGGATCTGTCTTAGCTCATTCGTTGTTGTTTGCAGAAGCTTCAGCACATACGGGAATATTCCAACAGACAAAGCCTAGAAGAATTTTCACTTCATGTGTAAAGACATAAACATGATAACCAGAAGAAACTGTGTGTAATCTAAAGGGAAAGGGAGTTCAAATTTAGAAGTGTACCAGATCCACAGCCCATGAACCCATATCAAGAAATCTCCCAAGAAGTACAAGAGCACGAAATCGATGGCACTGGCTAAGTAACACCTGAAACATATCAGTCTGTAAATACTCTAAAATAGTAATATGCAAAAAGAACTGTGATGGAACGTCCAGAAGGAAGCCAAATAATGTTCCTTAAGTCGTATCCACACAAAACCAGAAGTGCGAAAATGAGGAATGAATATGGCTCCCTCTCTCAACAAAAATGGAAATAAATACAGAAATTTAGGTCGCACCTGAAGAACGATAGGCAACTGTTCTGGTGGTTTCTTATGCTCAGATCCATGATCAAGCCACACCTCAAAAGCTGTCAATTGCTCAGTAAAAAATGGACTTGGCTAGAAAAAGAAAGGAACAAGTATTATCATCAAGATAGGGGCCGTCTTATACAATTACAAGGACACTACATAAGACGAAACAAACCTGGAACTCTGCGTTTGGGTCCAGAACAAGTTGGGGAAGGTGAGAAAGACAGATTTCAGCAGCCATGTCCCATGCATCCCTGAAAAGCATATAACAACTAACTGAGGAACAATCTAGACACATGACATTTTATATTACAGAAGAATAGGGTTCTAGTTGAATACCACATATGATGTTGATGCGTAGGAGGCAGCATAGGGTGAGATATTGGATTACAATTTGCGGACCGCATTATTCTCTCAGCAAGTAAGAAATTTCTGAAAAGGCTAGCGACCAACAAATCCTGTCTGAATAATCTCTGGAAAAGTTCTGCAGGGTTAAACTAACATTCATGAGGAGGGACACATAAATACAAGCAAGTCAAGTTAAAGAGGTTTGGCCTCAATACATTAGGCATAAGTTTGGAGAAATACCATGAGGAAGCACATTCCATGCAATTGTATCCGTCACTGCTGTGAAAATCCAGTTCAACTCCCCTAACAATGTCTTACGGTCATTTTGACGGCCTGGAATCCTGTCAATAAGTGATTCATCGATGATTTCTTTCAGAAGTGAACGCCTGCAGAACCTGCAATGGAATGTCTCTTGTGAACGCTGCAAGCTAAACTGAACTGAATAGTACAAATGGACAGAGATAAAAACGCATTCAGCAAAAACTAGTTATCTATTTATAGCCAAAAGTTAAAAAGAAGCCTAGAACTAAAACTGCACAACCTCAGTAGCAATGAGTTATGGAGGAGAAGGCTACTAATCAGGATAACATCATGACTCTTTTGGTCTCATCAGAAATACATAGCCACCAACAGAAAAGGTTATGGCAAATTAAACTTTCGAATGCAAAGCAATATGGGAGCTATAAGTAATTAACATTTCTGATTATTCTGCAACTCTCATTATATGCACCCCCACAAAATGAAACATATGCAGAAGGTTTTCTACCTAAAACATCATGATCTTTTTGGTCTCATCAGAAATACTTATGCCAAAAAAAATTGATTGTACCTCATGTTGAAGCAAGCTAACTATGATTCTATAAACTAGCTTGATGGAACTTAAGAAACTATGACATCTGAGTACGCAAAAAAAAAGTCGGAGATGAGAAGAGGATATACCATTTCAACGCCATTTTAATGGGTGTGGTGAGGCAAGAAGTAAAAACATCAGCTGGAAATTCGACGCTCTGAGGAAGTGTCTCGTGTACATCACAAGCAGCAAGTAGAATGCAGTCCCTTGAGGATCCCGAAGAACCAGAAGATCCCCAATCATGAAGCTACCACAAAGAGCAAATGAATTTCATCAACTTATGGGATGCTAATTGCAGAATCAAGTCTTCGACTCAACAGGAGGATGTGTACTGTAAAGTGATTGTTGACTTTACCTCAGCAAAGGCATTAAGAATCATCCTAGCAGCAGAGCAATCAAAAACGTAGATGGACGGAGTCTTCAACCAGGAATCAAGCTCGCTGATTGGCAAGGGAATGTACTGCGTATAACTCTGCTCAAAGACAGGATCAATCAGTACGTGGTAACAGACAAAAAAAAGGAACCATAACTTGACCGAGAAAAGAAAAAGCTAGCAAAAACAAACCTTGTTGAATACCCAAATTTCACCATTAGCTGTAGGCTTTGGCACACCATGGCCATTATAATGGAATAGAACTCTCTCGGTCTTTGCATATTTTCGACAAGTCAAGCACAGCTTCCGGACCTCATCTACCGTCGGATCTAATTGAACCTTATAGCGGGCCTGAAAAAGATTATAAAATAAAATTGAAAAGTGTAACTTGACAGAACAACAACTAATAAGGTGCAGGAAAATAATTAATCACCCTTGGTTGCCATCTCTCATACTGAGTGCTCAAATTTTTTCCAATAGTCTCAAGAGCTTTTGGCGGGGCCATGGAAAATGGGTCTGGCATCAAACAAAAGAGAGATGAAGTTGATTGTGGTTTCAAAGAGAAATGATATACACAAAAAAAGAAAGAGTGTAATAGAGTTGAGTTGGCTGAAGGTTCAACCTATCCAAGCCTCGATTCTAGCACATGGAGATATCTTTATAACATCCGGCGGATCAACAGTAATGTTCAAACACAGAACTAGAGCTACACATCCTGTTTTCATCTGCAAAGACGAAGAATAAAAGTCAGCAAAGAACATGAGACTTGCAGGTATTTCCCTGGCCAACAGATCCAATAGCTTATGCTAGGAAATAGAATTGTTTCTAAACGGACATTCGGATTGAACTGAAAACGTGTATCTTGGTGTTACTTTCTGAACTTTGCTTCATTAAGGTTCATCTCCAAAATAAAACGTTTAACATAATCTTCCTCAGTTAACATCACTCTACCTAGTACGGAACAACACCAGATTGTGTCATGAATTCTAGATAATGTAGTTGTTCTAATCTCCTCTTTCATCCTCAATTGCAATAAACAGAAAGATCAATCCTCAAGCTAGTCTACCATACTTAGAGCTAATAATGCTTAAACTTACTCGCTCTTTAAGCCGCCATTTTGGGACCAATACTAAGCTCTCGGAAGTCCCCAAGGGCGCGGAAGCCTCGGATGCGTCGTGTCTAAGCTCACAGAGCACAATAGTCTGAGGCAAGTATGCCATGCTAGTGGCAGTGGCGGCTGTATCCGTTGTGCCATTTCCATAGCTACTGCTCGTAGCCTCAGAATCCTTCCTCCGTGAAGGGATTGACGAATCACCGTCACCGTGACTAGATACACAGTCCTCGTCGTAACGGTGATTGGAGACCAAAGAAACTGAAGATTGCGAGAACCTAGACACCATTAAGTCTCCCAATGCCATCCAAATCGGAGAACACACCCGAATACAACCCCCCCCCCCCCGGGACGAAATCCCGAAAATCAAATCCTCAGCCCTAGCTTATTGTTCGGATTGCGCGAGAAACGAAAATCAAACAGAAGCGAAAACGGAGAAACACAGATCAATCAACAAAGCCGCTGCACCAGCGGCGCAAGAGCAGAGAATCCAGCTCGAAAAAACCCCTTCCAGATGAACAGAGAAGCGGCAGAGGAAACCCTAAGAATCCGGAGAAGATAAGGACGGCGAAGGATGAGGAAGACGACGGCGATTGAGGCGGAGGCGCATAAACAGTGGCGGTGGTGGCGGTGGCGGC